TAATCCAACCTTACTTTAAAACACTTAATGTAGTCACGAATACTCATAAACCCCGACCTACCTTCACCTACCACCTACCACATGCCTAAATTAGATCAGTGTTCAATCTGCGTTTTAAGTGTAATAACTTACTGCACCGTCGATGTAATTCAACATAATATAACCTGTGAGGTATTATCGGATTAAATATCGATTTCGATGCGGTTAGATATATCGCTTATTTTTTTATCAGAATTTATTTTACAATCGGTTCAAATATGAGGACAATAAGTAAAACATATATCAAAACAATGTCAGGAAACATTAAACAAGCACCTGTTCATCAACAAGCCTTGCCAAAAATTGGAACAATCATTTAAATATTTACAGAAATCTGTAGCTTAGGTCCAGCACATGCACAACACTTTTTAATCTGGTAATGCACTGACTATTGTCCAGCAGATTAACAGCAAGACTGTTCGAAATCCTGATTTCTAACATTGGCTGTTTCTAATCAGCCGGCAACACAAATAGGTTCCGAGGAAAGTAGTCACAGGTCCGTATCCCTCCGCTCCTTGTTAAATATTGGAAATTTTAAGTTCGATTTAAATTGCATTAACATTATCTAATTGAAATTTGTTTGTTTAAAAACCATTTCACTATTAGTCTAAGTAATTTTGTTAAGTTTGGCTGAAATGCGTTCAGCCGTTATTGAGTGATGTTTCTCTATTTGTTGCATTGAAGTTGATCCCAAAGAGCTTCGCTCGCTCCGCATTGACAGTAGCTGCTTAAATAGTATTTTCTCTTTGTACCATTTTTTACAGCCAAAATGTCGTGTTATTTTCAATAATGTTACCAAACCAGTGCGCTAAAGTCCGTAATATAGGCAGGTGCAAATAATTTGTCAAGGTGGGTACCATTTTGGACAAAGTTTCTATGTTTGGATTTTATTAGACAAGATAAGAGCAGATATTTCTACATAAATATTTGATATTTGTAGTATAATATGATAAAATATAGGCAAAAGTGGTGAAAAAGGCAGACACCAACCCGTGCAAGTGATATAAGATAGTTCAATAAGAAATAATTTAAGAATTGCTGTGATAAAAGGACTTTCCACTGATTTCGTAATGGGACGTTGTATTGCAAAACATGACATGATAAAGAAGAAAATCTATTTTAAAATCTGAAAATAACATTGCAAATACTTATTTGGTAGAATTCAGTAACTCCCAATAAATGTGTGTTGTTTGAAATACAATTTAAAAATGAACAGCTGTTTCATTAAAAAGTATTATTCACATGGCCAAAATGTAAACAGCTCTGTGGAGGGATCTTTAAAGGCTTCTGGGGCAGAGTCCTAAGGGATTTTGATTAGTCTTTCTTTTGATACCTAACTCATCTACAGACCAAGACGTTTCTTTGGACACCCCTACCAAGTTTGGGTCTCTAAATCCAACGTACAAAAATAGTATATTTCGTACCTAGGGCCGAAAGTGAGGTTTTGCCGACTCGAGATCGGGTTTTTAGTTCGAGACGAATTCGAGAACGTGAAACGATCGAGAGCTGCAAACCCATTTTGGCTCGTGGTACGAACGCTATTTTTCACCCAAGTATGTTTTGCAATATAACGTCCCTCTTATTTATGTGAAATATTTTGAGGAATCAGCAAAATCAAAAATAACAATAAATAGTTGTCTAGGCAGCTGTGACAAAAAACAAGTCTATTGCAATGCCATGGATACAGCTTGTGCATTTAATATACATTAATGTTTTAAGTAAATAGGCGAACAAGTGATTTTGCGGCCCTAGGGATGTAAACCCCTGCTCGGTCCCCATATGACGATGACAGCTGGCATGGCCAGCAAAACGTAACTTTCAGCCACCAATATAAACCAGCTAAATGTATGTAAAACAGCTAAAAACATCATAGTGAGGTGAAAAATTCGTTACGCATACTTTTACATTACCATGAATTAATTATATGCATACAGAAAAAACGGAGTCATACTTATTGCGTATTTTAATGTAAACTAGTGGCTTGTAGGGACATAGTCCCTAAAAAGCTTAAACGGAAAAGGAATTATTGTTGGAATATTTAAACAAACTCAGAATCAAATTATCTATATGTCAGGATAGGCCTAGATATCCCACTACAACATATCTTTTGTGCAAAAAAACAAAAACAAAACAGTTTGTTGTTTGTCTTTGTTTGCTTTTGTTGATAACGTTATGTTCAATAAAGAATTTGAATGATTCCAGAGATTTAACTGCTAAAGGCAGCAAACATGTTTATGAATAAATATTGGTTTACTAAGGTAGCTTTGGTTTTTTGGTTAATGCTGATAACAAGGCTTCCCCGATTGAAATATAGTATTGGAAATTGTCTTCGTCAAATAAGAAAAGGCAAAAAATGGTGTGTTGAGATACCCTACCCAGTTATTATTTCTAAGTCTATGCTCATTTTGTAAAGGTTTAACAAAATTATTCTTAAGTAAAGGCATCCCATTGACAGAACTTGGACCTAAATTTGTTTGTGATCAACATTAAAAAACCACTATTAGCCTAGTGTAAGTATATGTGGTGTTAATCCTCCTAAAGGTGCGATTGATTTACATATTCTACCAAAAAAGGGCCTAGTCAACGTCTAATTACTAACTATTTTGCGGCTAGTTAGGGTTCCATTACCCAGTTATCGAAACTAATCACGACATAAATATTTTTGGTTCGTTTAAATACCTGTACGAACCTACTTCATCTCTATTCCCAAATTGTTTTCTAAGAGTAACCGTTGAGGTTATTCCACTTCATACAAAATATTGATTAAACACTACAATAAATCTCAAATATAAATGTTAGTAAATTAAAAAAAAATATTGGAATAAATCTTTTACATATGTTTTGAAATAAAAACAAAGAAGATCTTCTTTTAATCTCTGAATCGTTTCTTAAATCTTGAAAACAATTTATTTCAATTTTGACATAACTAAAAAGTCTTGATTATTAAAGGTAACGTTATCCCTTTATATAGTTGGTTTTATATAGTATACATTACATTGCAGAATTGACTGGCAAACGAGTAATCCAAATGTAAGCTTACTTGCTAATGATAAAATCACGATCAGCTGGATTGAAGTAAACAAAAATCAGCAGTAAATGCCTTCTAATGCTATTCTTATGGAGAACATTGTACGTTATATCAAAGATTACATATTTGCGTTAGCATATGTAATCTTTGGTTATATCTAATTTTGTGTTAAGATTTTGGGAATTTAACTATTTTTCCCGCCGTCACGGAATAAAGACCTTTAATTTGAGCCCTCTCACGTCGTTCTACGACTTCCCAGTCGCCCACAATTTTGACGCAAAGAATCGGCTTACCTAATTAATATATAGATAGAATAGATTTCTTGTATATTCCCATGAAACTGATAATTTACCCAGCACATTAAGGCCTTTATTCGAAGTATCTCAGTTCGTAAACCATACATACAATGTGACGATAAAATATCAACAAAATAGCATGTAGTTTTATGTAATCCTCACGACATTTCATTTGGTCCATTGACTTTAAATCCAATAATTGTAAAAATTATTGGAGCTTTGAAAAAAACTTCATATAAAATCCTTATACTAATAAAAGACGACGTCATGAGAGCGGGAAATGAGCTACAGCGGCTAGGGCATAGCCACATGAATACAGAACGGAATGAAGGAACTAGAACGGAGAACTGGCAACAGCGCACGCGAGAAGTAGGGGGGGCGCACACACCGCTCAAGCACTACAACGCATTAGTGGCATCCTGTCCACACACTGTTGATATATACCGATTTGTGGCATGGTGCCACAATTTAAAAACTGGAATGTTAGATGTTAAAATGGAGTGTTCATTAAAAATATCGATGCAGACATGTTTCTACCACCTTCCTTCATCCACTGGTGGCCGCAGGTTGAAAGATGCCACAATTAGGTGTTTGCGAGTATTCGGTAAAACCCCGTATGTGTGTGTGTGTCTGTGTGTCTGGATGTGTACAGAGCTAGAGACTACACCTGTGGTCCGATTTCGATGTAATTTGGTATGTAGGTTCTAATCCATGGTATCTCCAGGCGTTTTTTTTCATTTTATTGAAATTTTGATTTTTAATGGGGATTTTCCCATAAAAAACCGGAAAAATCAAATTTTCTCAAAAATGGCCCGAACGATTTTGATAAATTTAGTATGTTGTAGCCCTTTAAATTCTGAACAAAATAGTACAAATCCCATTTCTGTAAAAATTACGGTTCAAAAGTTATGGTAAATTATGTTATTTTCCCATAAAAACCCATAAAATAACGAAAAATAGGATTTTAGACAAAAATCCGGTTTTGATTTAACATTGTATGTTATGGTCCTTACAATTGTGATAGTTTTTTTCATTTTTTAGCAATTTTTTTTAATGGGGATTTTCCCATAAAACCCCATAAAATAACGGAAAAATAGGATTTTCCCAAAAATGGCCTGAACAATTTTGATAAAAATTTAGTATGTTATAGTCCTTTATATTCTGAAGAAAATTGTACAAATCCCATTTCTGTAAAAATTACGGTTCAAAAGTTATTGAAAATTATGTTATTTTCCCATAAAAACCCCATAAAATAACGGAAAATCAGATTTTTCCAAAATTGGCTCGAACGATTTTGATAAAAATTTAGTATGTTATAGTCCTTTAAATTCTGAAGAAAATTGTACAAATCCAATTTCCGTATATTTACTCTCACCACTTACACATGATAAAGGTTGTTGACAAGCTTATGGGAGAAAGTATGTGTCAGAATGCTGATACCGTTTATTTCACTTTTTGCTGTGTGCAAGAATTTTTATAGAATATATACCTAGGGAGAAAAATCCCATCCAAAGATTTGGGAAGGAAATGATGTCTCATCCTGTGCCGTGCCAAACAATAGTAGCTTACAATCCTGTCTACTCTTACTTGAACGTTTACTACATAAATTGCCTAAAACACACCAATTATTGTTTCAGTTCAAGGATGTTCTAAGACTAGAGGAGGATCTGCCTCATGTGAGAGAGGCAGCTAAAGTCAGGTAAGAATTTTATTTCCTTGTTATGAGTATATACAATTTGAATATTTAAGGTTATATTACATAAGTTTGTCACCACTGTCTAACTATAAATAGTTTTCAAAGAAAAGCCAAGTAGCTACACTCTGTCCCTTAAAAAACCTCGAAATTATTTAAAAAATAATGTTGCTATGTAAATTCAAAGTATTGTGGAGGGCTGTTACTGTTGGTGGTTTTCGTGTTTTAATTTCTGTTTGCAAAAAAACGTGACAAGATCAAAGTGATACCTACCTAATATAACTTAATCTATAACTTGTACAACAATAATGTTATCTTTTTTATAAAAGGAAAAATGACTTTTAGAAAAAAGTGACTTAAGATGATTTCTGTGGTTTAGTTTGTTTATCTCTAAATCCTGACTACATCATTATTTCCCATACTATCAACAAGTTTTTTTATAATTGAAAATACTCAGAACTATCAAAAAGGTCAAACATTATTACACAGTAGAATCTCTAAGTTGCTGGCATTTAACATGGGGATATCACTCAACCATAAAATATTATTGTGGTACAACCTTTCTACCTCTTCTACCAAAACACATGAACTTTACTCACAATACATCCTTCTCAATGAAATATATGAAATATAACTTATAGAAATAGAAAGCAAGTAGAACTATTAGTAATTCTAGTACCCATTATCTGTATTTGGATCAACCCATTCACAGTCTTGGAGAGCTAGAGAAGGATATGGCTCAACTAAGGTCCAACCTGAAGGAAGTGGAGAGAGAACTGGAGTTCCATCGGCTGCAACCGGTCGTACCGGGTGACCGCTTCCTTCCGGTCATGAGAGAGTTCCTTACCTCAGCTACCTGCCGGTTCTCCTGCCTAGAGGATCTCTTCCAGGACATGAAGACTAGGGTGAGAGGAAATGTTAACGTATTATGTAACACTTAATGCAACGTAAATATTTATTTTGAGAAATACAATTTTAAAATCCACAACAACTTTTTAGGATCAAAGTCAAACTTTGGTTTGCAATTTTACCGACTAGTAAACAGGTCAAGTTACTACTCAACACAATGATACTTGTCAGTTTTGTTTGTTGATTTATTTTTTGAGTCGATAGTGGTAAATTTTAGTGTTGAATCAAAGCATCAACACTAACAGATTCATGCGTTCTGGATACTCTTTCTTTCTATTTTGTAAAATACATGTTGAAGGACATAAGTACATGCAAAAATGAATATCTTTTCTTTTCAATTTTATTCAGAAGTATAATGTACATTTGTAGTTTCAAAATATAGGCCTTTAATTAAGCATCTCATTTCTTAGTTTGATCGAGCTGTAAGACTTTTCGGGGAAGACAACTCAACTATTCAGCCTGATGAGTTTTTCGGCATCTTTGACACCTTTCTGGTGGCATTCAACGAAGCTAAACAGGACAACGAAAATATGAAGAGAAAACGAGAAGAGGAGGAGAAGAGAGCAAAACAAGATGCTGAGGTATTTAACTCCAGACAAACAAAGTTTTTAATTTTTAAAAGATTTAAATATTTGAATCAATTGTAGAATTTTTCTGTTTGCTTAATTAAACTTAACCTGATGTTTTAGATTTTCAACCATCTTCAGGTCAAGGCACTTTATGTCTCAAAGAATTTAATAAAAACTCAAATACAAATAAAAAAATATGATTTAGGTTGAAGCTTTTTTATTTAACTTTGAGTCTAAGTGATGTTTTAAATTTTGATTAAGCTAAAAAAGAGAAGACTGGCAAGACTGGAAAATGTAACTTTGAACAAGAATTTGAACTTCCAGTCTCAAACACACAATTGGGATGTTCTTTTCTGAGGTTGGACATTTAAACATTGTCATCGAATGGGGGTTTTAGTGAGGGTGGTTTATGGTGTAATGTCTTATCATTTACGGTACAATCTTTTTTCACTGTTGTTTTTTCACTATTGTTGTGAATATCTAAGAGCACAGAGAGTTTCATGTTTCTTCACTATGTCAAGAAAGTTTTGCACTGGAACTGTGCCTTGTCAGATTTTAAAACCTACACAACCTCCTCTCTCACCTTTTAAAAATTAAGCATACAATGCAATAAAAGTGGAGAAAACAAGTTTCTTGAATTTTTGCATGTCACAAATGATTCTACAAATCGATACATATTACACGTATAACACACACAAAGTGAAAACAGGGGTTTTAAAAAACAGGCCTGTCAAGGAACGCGGATTCCCGCACTAGAGCAAGTAGTTGACTGGAGTCATCCTTGTATTACTGGACATTCAAGAACTTCTTTAAAACATTGCATGGTTCAAAAAATATGTTCTTCACTTATTGGGAGTTTTGTCTCACCAAAATAGTAACACCTTAATGTGTCCAGATAACCCAGACTACAATGAGATAATAGTACAGTACAGGGATCTTGAAAAAGTTTTGTTAATTTTTCAAGATTATATAGGCTGATAATATTGAATAAATTACATACTAACAGCATAATAAGTGGCATGATTAGCCAAAAATAGTCACTGAATAACCATAGTCAATGGTATGACCCAACCATCGTACGTAGTTGCAGATTCATCATTGGCAAAGGTTTTAACTGCAAGGAAATTCTAAGTTAAGGCAGATTTTGTCATTGAAACTCTTCACATTTTGCTAATGTTTAGATTCATCAATATGTCTGTCAATCTGGGGTTTATCATGGATGAATTTGGAATCTCATGAATTTGTCCATACATGAAAGCAATCAGTCAACCCCTAGAGGTTGATCATCATAGCCACTTATTGCCAGTTATATGATGGGTTTTAATTGTGAAAATTTAAACTGTACAAAATGATTGTAATCGATTGATCTAACGCTGTGTTTATAATTTAAAGTGATTTAAAATCATTTAGAGTACTTGATAACACGAATATCTTTTGTAAGATAGAATTTAGGCTTATTCGTCCACAAAGAATCCTGCAAGGAACATGTGTTTAGAAGCCATTAAGCTGTACACATTTTTCTTACTTTTATGTCATTTTTGTCACAGGGTTAAATAAACCCAGATACCTCGAAGAGTTAACAAAACAATTAACCCTTTCAGTGCTAGGCCAATAATTCATTTTTTGTAAGACTTATTTGTTTGCCTTTTAATTCCATTACCTGTTGTTGAATTTTAACTGTAGTCATCTTGTCACTCTTTTATTATTTAGGCTAATTTTGAAAAATAACACAATAAGAAAATATATAAGAAAGATAAATCCCGATATTTGTAGTAAACATTAAATAAAACCTAGTTTTTGTTGTAATTTTCCTGGTTTTCCTATAAGTTTTTATGTTCTGATGGTATTATTTGAAACCAAAATCTCATAAAATCAAAAGAAATATAGTTTACAATGTAATATTGAATTTAACCTTGATTTAGTTGGACGAGGTTATCGTAATATAGCCATTTTAGGGAAACTAATGTTTTGCAGCAAAGTCTCAGGAACACATTTATGATCACTGTTGTGTTTAAACTAAAAGATTTCATCGAAATAGTCCGTGACTAACTGGTGCTGCTACCTAGTAACGCATTGAACAACCATCTGTAGCGCTATCTGTTCGCAATCGGTGGCGTCAGCTTAAATACCGGTTTTTGACTCCTCAGTCTTCAAGCACAGATAGCCGAGAAGGCTAGGGCGTGTATCACTTGGCCAGTGGCATTCGTCTGCTCGGGTTCGAAACCCGTCCTGTGTGGCAAATAATTGGTGACCTGTGTGTTTGTAGCAATATACTACAACCACTGGGGCATAGTGAGGTGTTCATAATCCTTGGTTTAGACATACACCTCGAAATCATCGGATTGGGCGAATCTTTTAGCTAAGTGGTTGTTAGTGTATCCTATAAACATGCAGGTCACCAATGGCCGTTTTGCTATTTTTTTCAAAATAACCTTCCTCTCTAAATCCCTTAGAGATTTTTTAAAACAACGATATATCGTTTCATAGAACTGAAAGGGTTAAAGGCTTTAAATTAAAACTTTTACAGCTCAAGAAAAGAACAATGGAGCGCAAGAACAGCCGGACGGTAGAAAACAACATCAGGTCCGTCTCCAATGGAACTCCAGGCGGAGGTCCAGGTGTTGGAGAGAATGGAGCAAAGGGAGAGTTTGACGACCTAATTTCAGCTCTACGGACGGGTGATGTCTTTGGAGAGGACATGGCGAAGATGAAACGCAGCAGGAAATCAAGACTGAATGGAAATTCTCCGCCACGCAAAAACAGCCTCAACCGAGAGGACAGCCGAGAACGAGTCCTCAACGGAACGAGGCGCCAGTAACAGACTAACACAAACTGCTCCAAGACTGCCAATGTTTTATAGACTTGAACAATTTTGTATCAAATGCACTGACCATGTCTCCCTTTAGAAAGACTTTTTTACGTCATGATTCCTTTACATTCAAATGACTCTTGGACATTTTTCATTTTACTTAAATTGAACTGTAACAAATTTAATGTTAACCTCAGGATGTTTTTGGGAACTTGTACTGCTTACCCCTATACAGTAAGCTTTTGAAACTGAAATTTTAATAATAGGCCTAGAAAGAAGTAGGTGAAAAAAGTAGTAGTAAAGAAAAGTCAGAAGAAAAAGTAAAAGAAGTAGTAGAAAGAAAAAGGTGTTTTGTGATATTATTGAAAATTAGGCATAAATTTAAAGTATTATTAAGAATTAAAAACTTTCTACAAATTAATGTGATATAAGAAGTTTGACTTGTAAGCAAATTAAATGCTTGGTATCAATTTTGGACGTAAACTACCTTTTGTTGTTTCAATTTCTAAATTATTCAGTTCACTTTTTGCTGCTTTTTCATTGTGAATGAGTATTTTTTTGTGTCAAATGAAATAATAATTGTGCTACGATTATTTCATTAATCAACAAGATTCAACTCAGAGCATACTAATTGTTGGATATAACTAACTATAGATCTGTTTCTGAAATATTATTAAACTCAGTAATCAAGGTTGAAATTGAACAGCCCTATTTTTGATTTGAAATCTCAAAAAAATTATGAGGATGTAAAAATAATTTCTTCCATGTTTATCTTGATGTTGTGTCTCTTGGATACAGAAAAGGTTTATTGTCTTTTGGCATAAAATATCCTGACTTTCTAGCGTGTAATTTATGTAACTGAAAAATCTGTAATGAAATTAGTAAGATTTTAGTAAAGGCTAATTTGTAAAATATATATATATATTTTTCAACCCATAACAATTAAGATACTAACACGTTTTTTCTCAGATTAAATGCGGCCATACATTTATTTATTCACATTATTTTTCTAAAGATGTATATTAATTGTTTACAATATCTTGGAAAATATATTATTTGTAAATAGCTTAGTTGTTTATATTAATAGTGTATAAATTTATATTTTATAGTTTGTTTGCTAGTCACCTTATAGAGAAATTAGGTTTATTTTCAGCCAGACTTTGATAAATTCTTGAAAATGCTGGTTATTTCATAATCATTCTAAAAAAATTAGTGTTTCATAGAATCATTGCAATATTTTGATTGTTGATTCAATCTTTTCCTCCCATTTAATTTTCCTAGAAGAAAAATATATGTATCTACGCCAAAACTAAACAGTTATTGTTGTATTGCTAGAATTGTATGTTAAACATTCTTGTTTTGTATTTTTGTACATATTTTGTTTGTATTAGTCTAGAAAATTTAAGTTTACAGCTATAGCAACAAATTTTCAATGTAAATGTTGAATAAATTTTGTGTTATATGAAGTTGATTATCCTGTCCCATTTTCCTTCATCATTCATTACTGGATACAATAGAAAAAAAACATCCATTATTTGATTATAAGTAATAGTTTTAGGTTCAAATGGTAAGCTCTGTTACATTAAATTGAACTTCCCACACGCTGCAAACATTTCTGCAATGGTCCTGATGTTTCAAGGCTTTAATACTCAAAATTATTATCTACATTTCCTACATTTGGCAGTATTGCAGACTGCTTTTGACTTCTTGGTGCTTGTTTACCCAACCTATCTAAATTATTTCAAATTTCAAAATTTATGTATTTCAAATATCTTATCGCTTTCATCACGTTAGGATACCCTAAGTGGATACCACTAAAAAAAAGTGTTTTTGTTAAAAAAAGATAGGGTCTGTCAAAATTTCCATTGTGTACCAGAATCACTTTGTATTATTTGTAAAAGGAAGTCACAAACCCAAATCTTGTTCCTATCTGACTGTAATAATTAATCTTGAAAATATTATTGAATATAACAAATTACAAATTTACTTCACAATAAGTTTTGCTCCAATTATAGTTTGTAAATAAGCCATGAAAACTTTCCACTCAATATCTGTAATCTTGTGTGCGTGTGAATAGAAATAATCTTTTGAAAACATAATGTTTACCGGTATGTTGAATTTTAGCATGTATAAAACACACTCCCTTGGTAAATTTTTCATCCTTATGGATCAGCTGAAGACTATTTGATTGTTTGTTCCTTCTGCTGCACTGTAGGGGTCGTGTTTTGTTAAAATTTGTTTCTTGTTATATCAGTAATTTAAAACCTTGTGTAACAATCTTCTTCATTAACTAACGATTCGAGTTTAGACTGAGCATTTTCGCATCTGTTCCAATATGTCCGTAATGAAGACAACCCACACTGTGACTTCATCACTACTCATTTTTTATCTCACTGTTTTTATTTTTTACAATTGCATTGTAAGCTTTATTAATAATTTGAAATTTGCTTGCAGTTATTATCTTATTTTTAAGCTTAAAGCGGTGTTTTCCTAGCGATGCGGTTTAGCCAGTTACGCAGCATGCTTCGAGCTACACAGTTGCCGGAGCCACCGATCCCTTTGAAATCAAAGGGAGTGTTTTCCTAGCAACGGGGTGCGCGACTAACGGTTAATCGCACAGCGTGATTGGGGGCACTGCTTCGAGAGCAGTCAGTTGCCGAACTGTCAATTTTTCACTTTAGAATTATGGAGAAGGCTATTTTTAGTGATGTTACTAAGTTTACTGGTGATGACGACAGTTCATTAATTGGCTGTGTGTCCGAGTTAAAAGTTCTTTTCCATTTTGATTGCACTACGCACCAAGACGACAAGGCAGAGAAACTGATCTTTAGTTAACCTAAAGCCAAAATATTTCCAATTTCACTCCATCGTCCATTGGGTGATGCTGTAACAAGAAAGAGTATTTAACTTCATTCGGACCACTTCAACGTCTGTATTTTTGCCATAGAACTTAGGCTATTATTTGTTATGCAATAAGGCACCCAAATTATCCATAGTTGGTGCAGTTGTGAAGCAGACAGCAACCCAGGACATTGTTATGTAAGGAAGCTACAAGGCATAGTGGTGATAAATTATGTGGCTGCATCGTGTTTGCGGTGCACCAACCAGCCAGTGTTAAGGTCACACTTATCACGAACAATTGTTTAACCACAATCAGAATCATATTTTACTCTCATGGCCATGAATGTTTGATGCATTCACAGTTACTAACAATAGTGATATTATGGAATAGTAAGAGTCATTGGAGGCTAGCAACCCCTTTGGATTTTCCTTCAAATAACAAACAACAATCAAATAACTGGGGTTCTATGAGGTAAAATGGGGTTTCCCCATTTTTGACCCTAAAAACATAGAATTTTGCAATTTCTTTTAAAACTATTTTGTAGAGCTTAAAAAACAAAAAATTTAGTATGTTGAAGCGTTATTATGCCCCTAATGTCTACGGAAAAATTTCCAAAAATTTGTAAATTTAAAATTCCCATGTTATTCTTCTTATATTATATATCTGTTTCTTATATCTTTATTTTATTTCTTATATCTGAATTCTTATGAGGGTGCTTTTAGCATTATTATTAATAGTTAAAGATCCAAAGATTAACAATATAATTTGCAATCCAAAAGTATAACTGACTAATACAGTTTCTAATGATATTTGGAGATAGTAGCTTACTCTAACTGTCAACAATATTGTCAGGTTAACGGAACTTAAAATGCCACATTTAATTCAATTGGTTATAAACGTTGGATAAAAAAAAGTGAATGCTGGTTGATGAATCGTTGAATTGGTGAGTCGTTGTTAACTGATTTTGCTGGTGGGAATTAGGTCACAATGTTCATAATCAGTTCGGAGGTCAAACATAATTTGTTTTGTTCTCTGATTGCATGTTGAATAGGGCTTCCGTTATTACGAAACTCGATCAAACTTGATATTCACGGAAATTAAATTTATTGAAGAGGAAACAGGTGTCACGATTGACTTTGATGTGACGCTGCCTTGATGATCCCATCGATGCACAATTAATTGTTCATTAACGGCATTATATATCAGAAATCCAAGACAAACTTTCTCCCATTGGCTTGTCAACTACCCGTATCACGTGTAAGCAGTCGGAGTAACTATGATATTTTTAGGGAAGTTCACAATTACTAATATTATAAATCTGAAAGTTTGTGAGTTTGTGTGTATGTTTGTGTGTATGTTTGTGTGTGTGTTTGTGTGTGTGTTTGTTGCTCAATCACGCATAAACTACTGGACGGATTGGGCTGAAATGTGGCATGATGATAGCTCACATTCCCGATTAACATTAAAGCATATTCTTATCTCAAAGACCCTTTCGGGCTCCGCCCCAGTGGCTCTGTAGTTCCCCATGTTAATCTTATGATTTTTCATATTTAAAAGGAATTAATGAATCTTAACAGCTGTCTCAATTAAACAAGTTGGTTCTGTTCTATGATGTTCAACAGCATAAAAGTTACAAGGATTACCAACAGGGTGCAGCACAATTAATTTTTTTTAAATTTATGACAACAGCTAATTTCCAACCAAAAGGTGAGTGAGCGTAGCGAACGAACTTCAACCTTGAGGCGAGTTAGCGTAGCGAACTAGCTAACCTGAAGGCAAGTGAGCGCAGCGAACGAGACCCAACCTAAAGGTGAGTGAGCGTAGCGAACGAACTTCAGGCCATGCGAATACTTATGAAGCTAAACGGGGCGAAGCCCGCGGGTACAGCTAGTTTAAAATATTTATAAATAGTAATAAAACATTTGCAATAACTTATGAATTAATCAAACCAAGTTTCTGTTCTGGATTCTTGCATTCATCATTGTGGGAAAGGCGAGTTTTTAAGGCGCATTTAAGCATAAGAAAATGTAATATCATGCAGCAATATCCATGTAGTATCCTGCAAATGTTGCTATCATAGCAATGTTTTATTTGAGGATATATTAACTATGTATTATATGGTATTACATGATTCAAAAGAATGTTCCAATTTGTTTAGGTATCATATTTGTAATTTCTATTATAACCACATGTATTAATATTTGTAGTATTATACATTTAAACACTTCAATAAACAACTTTTACCATAAATGATTGGTTCATTGTAGTTTAAAAGAAATTTTAACCGAATGCCGTTTACTAAAAAGGGGGAAAAGATAATGGTAAAAAGAAAACATAACTTTGACGTACACTGCGACCCACTCCACCCACACTCTCTAAATGACGTCATAGCCTGTAAACACGGATAAACACTTTGTCTGGTTACTGTAGTGCCTTATATAATCGTCCTTTAAAACAAAACGCATAAAAATAATATGAAACAGCAGAAATACTAGTCTTTTACAAAGTCCATAAGTAGTGAAGATGGTAATTAATTACTAATCTAATTCCTCTTGCAATTATTAATGTTTTGTTTGAAAACAAATTGATAATTCTACATCAAAAACATATTTTCAAATTTATTTGGGTATTCATAAAACAATTCATAAACTTTACTAGTAGTACGCTTATTCTGCGCGTAATGGGATGAGTGAACGTGAGCGCAACAATGGAAGAGTCCACCCGCACCTAGCCTACTTACCGGGGTCACTGGTGAACACAGTGTTATTTGTACTGTATAGGCAAATCAACCAAATCTCAGTCAACACAATCCTAACTTCTCGTCCATTACTTAACCAAAGTCATTGGTAATATACGTAATGGATTTCCAACCGTTATCGATAGGAGGTAAATCCATCGTTCCTGTACAAAACGTCTTTTGATTAAATGAAGCCTATTTCCTTATTCGTTATGAGGCCTATCATAAACAAAACTAAAACAAACTGAACGAATCTAACTTACCTAATTGCGACAGCACGGTGTAAATGAGTCTTCTTAAAAATATAGTATGGCTTATAATGATGATATATAACACATACTAACGATAGCGCTATTATATCACCTAAAAATGATTAATAATCCAATATATGTTTATCTAACTAATGAATCTAAATGCCATAAACGGTCCCCACACTCCGAACTGCTTGCCTTTACCACTTCCATCGCCACTACCTACGTCGTGGACCTGTTTCCCACCCTTCCCTCAGCATTTTAGTATTGCATGTACATTAATCTAACTGCCACAAACTGTTCCCACACTCAGAACTTCTCACCTTTACCACTTCCTTCCCCTCTTATAATCTTTAGATGATATGATATCTTATATGATATCTTATATCTTTATATTTCATTACGTCGTGGACCTGTTTCCCACCCTTCCCTCAGCATTTTAGTATTGCATGTACATTAATCTAACTGCCACAAACTGTTCCCACACTCAGAAATTCTCACCTTTACCACTTCCTTCCCCTCTTCCTATGGCGTGGACCGGTTTCCTCCCTTTCCAGAGCCTTTTAGTATTGCAGTTGCATTAATCTAACTGCCACCTTACAAGAATGCAGAGAGTGCACCTTACAAGAGTGCATGGAGAAGTT